TGTACTGTGCGAGGGTGACATTGTTCGAGGGCGCGTTTCCAGTCGCGAGGAAAGTTTCCATACGTTGCTCTAATGTGCCCGCCATTTTCACTATATTCTGGATTTCATTCTATAAAAATAACCTCAATGATAACTAGCAAATTTTTATTAAAAAGTATTATAAAAAAACAAAATCAGTCGTAATTTTTTTTTATTTTTTTTCGTGTTTAATGATTTTTTCTACGTGTAAGTACAACTCTGGATTTATACTAGTTTCACACGAGGGTGGAATATTAAAGCAGAGCGTCGGTGGCTCAGGTTTTTAATCACTTGACTTGTGATCTACAGATTATGGTAGGTCATGAGTTCGAATTCCGTCATGTACCAATGTACATTTATCCGACGTTACAGTGAAGGAAAACATCGTGATGCTGCACATAAATAAGAAATTCAAAGATATGTGTGAAGTCAACCCACTTAGGACAGTTGAGTATGACTTAGTCACTAACTTAGGGTAGGCCAAGCCCCTCAGTGGGGATATACAGTGAGCTGATGATGAGTAGGCAAACAAGTTCGATCTTTGTTGTTAAGACTTACCGTAGTCCAGACAAATTTCTTAGGTGATTTAACACGTTTCAATATATTAGCTTTTATAACGTAAAGTAACATTTGCAGTCTTTCTTTTAGCACTTGTAGATATAAATGACCTCCAACTTGTAGTTCCTGTACCATTACTGAGTCTGCACCTTCCACCTATGAGAGAAAATATTTTTTTTTTGTTAAATAAAAAATTTTTTTTTCGCTTGTTGGCGTTTTTTCTTAAAAATTTGTACAACAACGATGTGATTATAATATTCAGTTGTAATTTATATTTAAATTTTGATGTTTTTATTATTAAATATGTGATAAAAAAACCAATTTACTGACATTTCACAATTATTGTTTGAAATTAAAAAAAATATTAAAAATAACACATTTTTTATAGTATTCAAAATGGAAACTATACCAATTTCACTTTAAGATTTTTATCTAAAATGCACTGGTAAAAAATAAAACCATTTTCATACATGTAAAAAACTCTTCATAATATTAATAAAAAAAATGTGAATGTAACAAAAAGAAAAAAAATATATAAAAATTTTGTAACACAAAAAATCTAGTGACAAAATAGATAAAGCAATAAAATCTCTATATTTATAAAGAAATTTCTTAAATGTGGATTTTATTACCAAACATTATTACTAATTTTTTAAACTTATCTCTACAAAAACAAAGTTTTTACAAACTTACCTTACATTTATTCTGTACAACGTCATATAACTTTTGTATCATGTAAACCAATGCATAGAATTTACTTTTATAATCATTGAGATGTATCAACACACATCTCTTTAACAAGAAATCTGCAGCCTCCATATCCGAGGCCCACGGAGGTAACTCTGAGAGTTTTGGTCTGAACATCTTCCCGAGGTAAGCTCTACATTCTTCAGAGTTATGGAGACCTTCTTCATGTAATTCTCTTAATATATTTTGCATGCAACTGTAATATTTATTAACATCAAGTAAAAAAAATTTTTTTTTCGTTTTTCCAACTATTTAATTTAAAAAAATCCATTGAACTTTTCTAAAAAAAATTCATCCATCATCTATTTAAAAAAATATAGACTATGTGTTCTTCCAGACTATGTTATACATCTATGCCAAATTTCATCAATATCCGTTAACACGTTCTGCAGATACCTTCTAACAAACATCCATCCATATAAAGATTCGCATTTATAATATAAGTAAGATTTATTTTAATTAAGAAGCGTTTAAGCTTAATGGTTAATGGTACGGATTACCGCTCAAATGGTCAGAGGTTCGAATCTCGCCATTCGACTATTGTCGTTAACCTAGCACAAGTATAAAATGTTGGGAGTTTGTAATCTGCTGAGGTGTGCACTGGCTGGTTTTAGTCTGATTTTAGTTTATGAAAAAAAAAGTGTACATCTGTCATACGTCAAATATTTTTCATTGTCTTTCATAAATAAATTTTCCCAAGTAAACTTGTGTTATTCATCATAAAACTTAGTTGGAATGGTACAAAAAATATTAACAACGGTCTGCTAATATTTAAAAAAAAAATTGGCATATATGTACTTACTTGACATAATACAAATCATCTTTCTTCCCATGTAATAGCAATCTATATATGTAATGATCAGGAAAGTCAACGAGACATTTCATAATAAGCAACACCGGAGCATAGTACATCATCTTTCTATGAGAAAACATCAACTTGCATGTACCATTCTGTAGGAAATGTAATACATTGTTCTGAAAAAAAACAAACATATCTAAAATAAAAAAAATCTCCACAGTATATGTATATCATATCTAGTATATTAGAAATTTAAAGATATGTGTGAAGTCAACCCGCACTGGGTCTGAATATGGCCTAGTCACTAAGTTAGGGTAGGCTCCGAGCCCCTCAGTGGGGATTTATAGTGAGCTGATGATGTCTAATTTATTATCTTATTTAGCCAAATTTAATAATCAATCCTTAAGTTTGTTTTATTTACATTCAAATTATGATGAGCAGGAAACCTGTATAAGCGAGAGTCAACCTCCATGAGCGAGAAACCTCTATAAGGGTGAAAAATATTTATCGCAGTCCCTTACACTCTTTCTTATCCAGGACCAATTATACTAAAGGGTACACGAATGGATCAATCCTTAAATCCATTAAGATCGGAATAAATTGATTAAAAATGTACTGTACTATTTCAAAATTAACCTCTATACCAGTGGTTCCCAAACTTATTTTGTCTACTGCCCACTTTGAGAGTAAATATTTTTTTAGCTCTTTTAATTCATATTAGTTGATGTTCACAAGTAGTTGAGAGTCGAGAGCTCATGCAGTCGTTGTCTAAGAGACCTCCTTGCTAAATAAAATTACAAATCACCCCCCAGGCCTCTACACAACGCCCCCATTTTCTTTCTGGGTCTCTTAGCCCCCCTTGGGACCTGCAGCGCCCACAAGGGGGCGTTATCACCCACTTTGGGAAAGACTGCTCTATATGATGAGAACAAAACAATAAATTACTTATATTATTTCAATCTGAATTTAAAATAATTTGATTGTGAATTTATTTACTTACAGTACTCGTTTGATCCGCAGTAACACATCTCACTAAGACACCATAGTCGGAAAACAGATTTCCTCTCATCCTCCAACCAGAACGCTTGATTGCAACTGGATAGTTACGTCTTGTTACTAACAACATACGTGCTAACCTCTCATGACCCTTTAAAGACAAAAATATTTATTAGCTGTTGTCCGAGACTACAATAAAGTGGTGTTGAAAAACTTAATAAGTAGCTCATGTGCACTTCCAATCTATGTTCTACATCTATGCTAAATTACAGCAAGATCCATGCACCTATTCTGGAGATACCTTCCAACAAACATCCATACATACATTGGGTATTCTAATGTATTGTAAAATGTTATACATAGAGTAGTTTTAATTTGCAAGTGTTAATAACTAGGCTGTTTTATATTAATCAAAATATATCATGTTTTAATAGGAAAAACTTAATAAATACCTTTATAACAAAATATCCTCCCCACTCATCAGCATGCTCATTGTGCTGCACCAGTTCTTCAGGAGACATATCAGATAAATAGCAGATTTTTGACTGGAAAAGTTATATTACAGAAGTTTTACTAAAATTTTTCTCATAAGAATGAATTTTAAAGTATGTCAGTGGCTCACGGTTTAACACTTGAATTGTAGTGATCATGGGTTTAAATATTGCCATATACCAATGTGTTTTTCGATTACGATTTACATATCTACATTCATCCTCCATTCTTACAGTGAAGGAAAACATTGTGATGCAACCTGCACATATTCAATATGTGTGAAGTCAACCCACACTTGGCCAGCATGGTTGACTATGGCCTAATCACAACTAACTTAGGGTAGGCCCTGAACCCCTTGGTGGGGACTTATAATGAGCAGATGATGAAATTTAAAACTGTTTTTAATGACATCTAAGGGACTAGAAATATTCAGATGTAATAGCCAATATTTTCTTGTCTATAAACTTATATGTAGTTAAGTTTTTACTGTTTTGTAACACCTTTAAAAAGTTTAATTAAGAAATTTCTACTGTATTTTAAAGTGGCTCTTCATACCTTTAACATAACAGGAAGACTTCCCAGAGATCTATCAATGGTTATAGATTTATTATCAACATTAAATGTTAATCTTATTTTAAAATCACCCTTGTATGTAGCGGCCCTTTGTCTACATTCTGTAGGTAGGACTCTTTGTGTTTTAACTCCAACTACGTCCATAGGCACGCTTGGTTTAGCGAATGCAGCTTCGTCTATAGTTATTTTAATCTTTTCACCATTTGGTAACTCAAATTCTGCAGGAATTAAATCCGCAAGCGCAATTTTTAAGCCTTCTTGTACCATGTAATTGAACGAATCTATGTGTGGAGTTCCAAGACATTGTAGATACTGCAAAGGTTAAGCATAATTTATATACATTATTTTACAATAACATTACAACATTTTCAATAATTCTAATAACAAAAATTGTGAATTAACTTACCGGATTTGCTATTTTTGGAGGTCTTCGATAGTCAGGGTGACTGGTATAGGATAGAGAAGGTTTTTGTAGAACTTTCTTTTGATTCATTTTGTATGTTTTCTCACATTAAATCGTGGTATAATAAAATTATCTTTAAACTTTAAACACACGTGTTGTTATCATTCATGTACAGATGACATTGTCATTGTGACAGTAAAGTGACATATTTTTTCCACAGAGTAAAAACTTTAAATTCTGTTAAAAGAAAATATTGAAAAAGATTTAAATTCTTTAAGTAAAACAAAATTACCGTGAATTAAATTAACTATTTTTCTGTGTTTTTGTTTTTTCTATAGATGATTTATTATTATTGTTTTGCACAATATTTTAAAGCGCATTTACTATTTACATAATTGCTATGATATAAATTTCAGGCGCTTATCGATTTTTTTTGTTTACTAATTTTGTAAACATGGTTCTATTTTTATGTCTGTAAATATTTCCTGGTCAGGTCTCTAAGTACTGTAATACTAAATTAACCTAGTTTTCTCAATTGACTTTGAATTTAAATTGATATATTTAATTAATGAAAAACACATTAACAGTATACTGACATGCATAGAAAAGGCATTTTATACTGGAGGAAAATTGCAAAATTTTACACATACGCTTCGTCATCGTAGTAATTAAATATATAATTTATCACTTAAATATATCTAACCTCAATGCTTATTATAAAAATAATCCTTATCAACAAAAATACGATTACATTAAGTGGTGATTGTGATACTAGATTACGAATAATGTTACGAGAGATTTGTAGGTTAGGAAATTGGAATTTATATCTTTTTGCAAAACAAATCAGGTTTATACTTTTTAACTAATTGCAATAACTTCCTCTATAAATACTATATAAAACTAGCGGACCCGACAGACGTTGTCCTGTCTACACGTCTTTAATTTGAAAATTATTTAAAAATTGACACTGCGATGGTAGCGCCGTCTGTCGGATCCAATGTAAAACATTCCATAATCAATAACTACTAATAAATTAAAAATTAATTAAAAAAACATTGTCCAGCGGACAAAATTGTGAATCTAAACCATTCCCAGATCCCCTTGAACACACACAAAAAATTTCATCAAAATCGGTCGAGTCGTTTTAGAGAAGTTTAGTGACATACACACTCACAGAAGAATTATATATATAAAGATTAGTTATGTAAATATTTAAACATTGTATTTACATAAATGTAAAAGCAAAAGTTTTAAAGTACGCATTTTATTGACTTTTGGTAACTCATCGTACTCACTTTGCATTCTTTGTACATACTTAGAGTAACCATAACCAATAGATTTGAATTCTAGAATTTCTTAAAAGTTGTTAGAACTTTCGAGAAATTACTACAGACGTGTTTAAATAATATTTTATCAATAGTTTCTTGAGATAAATATAATGTCGTGAAAGTTAGATCCGTTGCGTCATTTTTGAGGTTAACCGAAAGAATTAAAATAAATAGAATTGCATGTTGGATTATCTTACATCGCGTATTTTTTGCATGTCGTAAACGTAAACAATTTAGAATTTAAGATCAAGTTTGGCCGTGGATTATTTATGGATGGCGATTGGTATTGTTTCGATTACGGAAAGGTCATGTGCAAGGAATAATATAAAGTAAAAGATAAAACACAATATTGTTATAATCCGGTAAATCTTAAAGGATAAATAACTTGTTTATTTAATACCCAGGAGAATATGATAGATCTATGACATTTGGGAAAAGAACCGAATTATACAAAATCGATTGAATCGTTTTGGTTCAACACGTTTACAAACTCATACACAAATCTAAACCCACATTCGTAAAAAAAATGTACCAGAAAAACCTAACCTCCTTACTGATTACAAAAATACAAACGGATTTTTTTTTAAATTTTATGACCTGGTAACATAGACCTTTAGGTCATATCTTATTTGGAAAATATACAAACGGAACAAAATACCTATTTATAGAGTAAAGAGTTTTTACTAAAACTGGTCTTTTAAGAATTCGCAAGATAAAAAAATTGTTTATTCAACTTACTGGCAGGTCATATTTAGATTATGAATTTAAAAACAATATTATTCAAATTTCAAAACAATACTGAGGTTATCGATATTTTTAATTATATATTTTCTTAAAACTGAAGACATCATATATTATGAAATAGTTATAACATTTTATTTAAGTGGAGACAATAATCTCTGTATAACATGTCTTTGGCAAAACAGAGATAACTATGTTTTAAACTGTTAGGAAGAAAATCCGACATTGTGCCGGTGTATCAGCGCAACACTAGCCTTACAAAAATGTCAATGTTTATGTCCCCTCACTATTCATTTCTGACATTTGCCTTGGTAATGCAAGTGCGCCATTTGCGCCAAAGGATTCTAAATATTAAAAAAAAAACGAAGATTTTGGTATCAGAAACCCACTGTTAGATATTTAAGATTATTGAATAACCAGAATCTGTAATTTTAACACATCAACTGCAGTACAGGGTGTTCAATGTGCCGTATCTATAGAGCAGCTACTGTGATATTTTGTTCCTGTCAAAAATTTTCTTTTTAATTTGATTCAATGTACACAAGAACTAAATTGACACAAAATATTAGCTATTATGTAAATGTTTCTGCAGTGAGAACGATGTACTTCACTGCGGTTATATTAAACCACAAAACAAGTTAAGTTACATATCATTTTTCTTACGTTATGTATTAAGACCTAGCGGTCGCCCTCGACTTTAGCGCAGAAGACAATGCCTATAACATGCCCGTGGTCACAAGCTACATTCCTGTCTAAGTCCCGTCAAAATCGATCCTTCCGTTCCGGAGATTACACGTAACAAACGCGGGCTTGCAGACAGACATACAGACACAGGCAAAAAAAAATTAATAAATTTTTTGGTTGATTGCAAATATATCATGTGTACGAAATATGTATGTTTTGATATTACACACAGACAGTCATATTTTTATTATTATGTATAGTTTAATAATTTAATACAAAATGTACTCAAGGATTCGTAATTTTAACCTAAACCTAAAACGGGTGTACGTTGCAGCTTAGAAAACCTTTTTTTTTATAGATAAATAGTAATAATCGATAAAAACGATATAAAAGTTACGAAAAAATTCCTTTATCTAGTTTGGTAACCAGATAACTGCTATAAGTGCAACGATGATAAATTATTTTAGGCGCGAAACAATTTTTTTTTAAGGCAAAGGAGCAATGGTTGACCTTACTTAAAAAAAAAACTATATTTCTGTTCATTTATTTGTTACGTTTAGGTTAATCGTACTTGGTTTAGAAGCGCGTAACATATTTATTTTGCACACCACGCCCACAATATACGTAATGTAGTGGGTAAATTGAAAATTAATTTGGCTAGTGTACCAAAATCCGCGGCGGCTGGCGCGCGATCGTACATTTGGTCGCAGTACCCGCGAGCGCGCCAACAGACCGGCCTGTTACATAATTAAAAAAAAAAAAGATATTTTTATCAGTTGCCAGTACGTTTTTTTAATAACTGTGAATTAGTGGCCAGTGCGTTTTAAATTATTATTATAATAATAATTTATAAATTAAAATTATTTTTTTTGTGGTGAGTATTTTACCCTCTTTTTTAAATTTTATAATTTTATGATTTACCTTCCATATAATTACTCATTATTTTATTAATTTAGGTTAAAGTTTAATAAATATCATGGATATAGGTAATGCGATAGCGTTTTTAGACAACTTAACACTTTTTGTTGTTACCTAAAATCAATATGATTGATTAAAAATAATAGGTAATTTTTATTATTACTTTTTTCAATATAATTGTACCGCTATAAGAAACGAAGAAAGATGTTCTTGACTCTTTTTTTAAATTATTATTTTTAATGATAATTAAATAAAATACGTGACAGATTTTGAAATAGGTAAAACTTCTATCATGAGGTCATTCGGTTACTTTGTTTAATTAGTATACGATTAATTAAAAAAAAAACATGAATAAGGAAAATGCTGTAAAGTGGGTATGATAAACAAAAAAAAAACAATTTAAAATTAAATCAACCTTCGAATTTATATTAGTACTTTGTTATATAAGAAGAATTTTTAATAAAATTTATAATCTGTATCCTATTTAAAAGTAATTTTGTAGATTTTATAAGACAAAAAGTTTTATGCCGTCTCCTTATCTGTTATATAAGATTTACGAGATATATTCCTCATTTTTATGACATTTAGTAATATACGGTTAGACATGCAAAAAATAACGGCTTAGTTTTGGATATATTCCAACAATTGGATCCGAGAATCGCACAAACAAAACAAAAATTAGTCACTTTTTAAATCAGTCCAATCTTATTTTTTATATTTGGTTGGTATTAATATTTTATCAATTGCGATAATGTATTCTGTGTGCGTATATTATATGATTTTTAACCTAGAATTTTAATTGTATAAAACGTATTGTTTTCTCTGTTATTTAAGAGGAAAAAAAGAGAGATGGCTATATGTTTTTTTCACGAATATTTCATCAGCAAAGCCACGGTTGAGTTCATTATAAAACTTATCTAAACTGACCTTTGTCTTTCACAATCAAGTTATTTTTGTTTTGTTTTTTAAAATGTTGGTATTACATCGTACCAGTATTTTTTAATGAATGTAATGTAACCTCTTTGAATAATAGTGTCTTAGAAAAAATAAAAAGAATTTTTTTTTATTCATTTTCAAGACACTGCTTAGTGTTTTAACCCTTTGGCTGCCGATGATTGATATTACGGACGTCAACTTGGTTACAAAAGGGCAAATTTTATTTTTAAATATGTAAAATCCCAACTGCATTCGGTATCTTACTACGTTACTAATATTAGAAATGCGAATGTTTAGATGGATGGATGTTTGTATGAAGGTATCTCCAGAACGGCTGAACGGATCTTACTAAATTTTGGCATAGATGTAGAACATAGTCTGGAAGAACACATAGGATACTAATTAAGTTTTTTTTACAGTTAGTAAGTAATAAACAAAGGAATACAAACACAATAAAAATACAAAGAATAGTTCAAACTCCAGTTATATCGAGACGGCCCACGTATGATCGTCTCAACACAATTTACCGTCAAATACCTCTTCCGGTGGAACGTTGGATTATCTGGGGGCGTGGCAATGCCCACGCAGAAACTAATCATGATGCCAGAAATAACTTTAAAAGTGAAAATAATCAAAGATTTTTCTAATTATTTAGATTTTTTAACTAACTCTTTAATATCACTGCCATAGACAAGCTATAATTTTAATCTTGCGAAAATAAAAATGAATTATTTAAACACATTTCTTTTTGCGATGGATAGATGTTTGAAGGCGTCTTCAGAACTGTATGGATTTCGCTGAATTTTGGCATAGATGTAGAACATAGTCTGGAAGAACACATAGACTACTAAGGTTTTTTATTCCGCGCGGACGGAGTCGACAGCCAGTTTGTACTATACCTCTTACTTAAAGAAAATCAAAATATTCGTCTATGGATTTGATTAATAAATATGTAGCAAAACTCTTATTAGCATATGCTTGTCTACATAGACAATAGAGAGACTGATATAAAAAAGTTGTTCATAAATCAACCTTCGCAATAAGATCACGTGTTTAACCTAAAAGTATTACGTATAATGACGTAGGAATATTTTAATTTCGCCTTTTGCTAGACGTTCAAAGTTTAAAGGAATATTTGGGTATAAAACTGCTACATTGTTAAACATCTAGATGTCTTTTGGTCGACGTGGACAAACATGCGGGTACATAAATATGTAATTAGGGCAATTGAATTTGAAATTAAATATATATTTAAGTTCAAATTCATATTGTTACAAAAGTAGAACAAGATATGTGTAGTTTAGTAGTTTGTTCCGGACATAAATGTGTACTTCGACAACGTAATATTGTTATCCCTTTCATTCTTTTTGAGAAAAACAGAGACAGCAAATAAAAACATGATATGCTTGCGTTGCTCACAACGATTTTTTTTTTTCTTTGTCTACCTATAAGTCTGCAACTGCGCGTTATTTTTGGCTTATCTCCGAAACGGCTGGATCGATTTTGACTGAACTTGGACTGGAAGGTAGCTGATATATGCGGAAGTAATTTGGGCTATTTTTTTAATTCCTCGCTAAAGAAGTCATGGGCAAGCTGATATCATTTTTATATGAATAATTGTACTTAATACGATTGCAACAGTGACTCAGATTTGAATACTTTTGTTTGCATAATCTGTGTCAATTGTCAAATGATACTTTGAGGGTAACTGCACTTGTCTGAATAATTTCCACTGTCGAAACTCTTGTAAAAACATATTGTCATCTCATTCATTACATTAGAAATAAATGAAACAACAATATATTTCAAACATGTGTTCACAGAGCATATGAGCTAAATTAAAATAGTTTTTTTTTAAATTTCAAGCACGTGTAAATCAAATATTTTACTTATAGACACCTCTGATTATTGCTTACGCGGTTTTTATCTATGATTTCGTGTTTTTTTTATGGACGCTGGGTTATCAGTATTTTTTTGTTCGTCCACGTTTCCGTCATCTTATCTGTTATTCGTTCGCACAGACACTAAAATATTTATCGAGTTGCGATTATTTATCCGAAGCTACTGTTCAAGATAAAACCTTTAAAATGTAATCCTTTTGAACAGCTCCAACTCTGGATTATTTATTGATAGTATTAACCATGTGATATATATTTGATAACAAAAATACGACATTATGTCATTTTAATATTATTTTAAGGCTTTCGTAATTACGATACATGCAAAATTGAATGATGAAAATATGAAAAAAGCCGCATTCTTGAATGACGTTTTATTTATTTTTTTTAATTGCGTTTGGTTAAATAATTTCGTTATATGTGCCATCATTAAACTTGCCCGTTTCTTCCTAGTTTAAGTTAAATATATTTTATTATGTCTTTATTTTTATGTCTAAAATAAAAAAAATGAGGAACAAAATTCTTCTTTATTTGACTAATAGTAGATTACACTCATAAGTTTGACTACAAAATTATTTAATTATTAAATTACCGCCAAAAATTGACAGTACGCCATATTGCAATAACTGTCATTGCTCATTCTTTGTTCTTTTGTTTATATACTCAAGAGAACAAAATATTTATTACACAATAGTACTACGAATACGTCGCCATAAATGAATGGATTAAAAGAATAAACTCTCACGACGTTTATTCTTTGGGGACCGGCAGCAGCTGTTTAGTACTTTGTCTAATTTATCCTTGAGTTCTTAACTGCTATAACAGCTGTATAAAAATGTATTGTTATTATACTTTTTCAAATTTAAAGTGCGTGTTTCAATAGACATATATATTATTAAATCTTACTAATATTATAAATGCGAATGTTTAGATGGATGGATGGATGAAGGTATCTCTGGAACGGCTCAACGAATCTAAGTGAAATTTGGCATAGATGTAGAATAGTCTGGAAGAACACATAGACTACTAATTAAGTTTTTTTATTTCCTCGCGGAAGGAGTCGTGGGCGATAGCTAATAGCTGTATAAATACGTATGTTCACTTTTTAATTTGTAGAGCGAGATGACAATATAATGTTTCAAGAGAAATTGGCAATAAAAACTTACTATAAATATTATTAAAATTCAACATAACACATCAGGACTTTTCAATTGACGATTGAGTAATAAAATTACAAATCTATTATAACAAATCAATAGAAATCAGTTTTTACAACTACTTAATATAATAACTAGTATATTAAACAGTTTCAAGTGGTCCATAAAATTGTAAATTTTTAGTGGGCTATAAAATCAGATGGGAATATTATTGTACGTAATAAAATCGATAAAACCAGGCATGGAGCCACGAACCGATTCGCTTTATCAAGAACAAACAAGATAACTAAGGCCGTAGCAGTTAGCACTGGTATTGTGATATTGCATTACTGGACAATTTTCAAACGATTATTCACTCTGTTCCAATTTTTTTATTCTATGTCAAACTCATCTTTGACCATCTTTGAAGTGTCAAAGATGTTGACCGTGAACAAAAGAGTACTTAATCGAATTAGAATAAAAACATAACCTAAAAAAATAAATTTGAATATTTATTACGAGATATCATTCAATACAAATTCAATAGAATAGTACTTGACATTGATAACAATACTTGCTATTAATTTATTTACAACTAGCCGCTATTCTCATCTTTTTAGTGAAGGCAAATGTCCACTATAATGTGTCTATTTAAGCCTATCTGACGCCCACGACTCCATCCGCGCGGAATCAAAAATAAACTTAATTAGTTGACTATGTGTTCTTCCAGACTATGTTCTCTACACCTATGCCCTACATCGAGTTCTGGAGATACCTTCAAACAAACATCCATCCAAACATTCGCATGACACTTGACGTGACAAATGACGTGTATGAAGTACTGAAATAATTTTGTATGAACATTAATATTGTACTTAATAGACAGTTGTCATAGAGTCGGACAGAGAGCGCATATCGAAAAACTATGAACTATATTTCAATTTATTTATGTAGCTACAAAAAATAAATTAGAAATAAAAAGAAACTATTTAATTCATATTATAATTCTGAAACAATAATCAAGAATTTTTCGATTGCAAATTCTATAAAACCAACGAAAATCGAAAAACATCTTTACCGATTTCACTCAACCCATCTCTAGCGAATTGTCAAATGAACTGTCAAAGTAAGACACTGGCTGGATCTTACGTTTCCGTCAGTGGAAAGACTTTTCAGTATTAATGAGTAAATGCAATAGGCGATATGATAATAAGGAAAGCCGGCAAGGTCGCTGTGAAGTGACCACTCCATAGGTACCACTCTATTATCTATCGTACGACGTACAAACAGATAACGTTATGTTTCGGCGCCAATAGTTATCGTTTCAAAGAATGTTCAAGCACAATCAATTGCCATAGACGGAATCCGTTCTTACGTTGAAGGAAAACATCGTGATGCACATATCTACGAAGAAATTCAAAGATATGTGTGAAGTCAACCCGGACTTGGTCAGCATTGATTATGGCCTAGTCACCCCTAACTTAGAGTAGGCTCGGAGCCTCTCAGTGTGGACGTATAGTGTGCTAATGGCGATAGACGGAATCTAAGGGAATGTTAGAAAAATTCACCCTTCTAAAACATAAAAATAGTTTCTTGTATAATACTTTTACGAGTAGGCAGCCACATAATTCATCGAAATAACGAAGCGACCGCTACCCATAGCTGCAATTGCTGATGCTTTACCTACCTTTAATCAACGGAGGAGGGGACGTACCGTAAGGGTATGTGACCCCTTCCTAAGGGTCCACTCCTCCTTCAAATCCATTTCCAATTCTCATCCTTTCATTATAAGAAAAGAGTAGGAATGGATAGCACTGGGCCAGCTATGGCCTAGCTGTGCGCGACAACTGTCCGTTCAGTCGTTCTGGTGATACCTTCAAACAAACATCCATCTAAACATTCGCATTTATAATATTAGTAAGAAGTAAGATGAACCTTTACAGTGAGTCCCGACCTCGCAGTACCATCGTAGGTCAGCGTGCCTGTATTAATGAAATCAATAAGACGTGCGATTGACGGCTGACTTGTGCACTTGAACTGTTCATAGATTTTAAATTGTGTTACTGCTTTATCATCTACTAGATGTCGCACGAGACTCCTTACATGCAGAATTAAATAAAACTTAATTAGTAGTCCGTGCGTTCTTCCAGACTATGTTCTACATCTATGCCAAACAGCAGGATCCGTTTAGATGTTCGCATTTATAATATAAGTAAGATTGAATCTGTGAACCAAAGCATTTCTATTTTTAAAGATATGTAACCGGTTATAATTTTTCAAAAAAGCTAATGATTTGCTTCTTTAATGGAAAGAAATGACACAAAAAGAATTATGCTTTGTGCTGTCCTCCTTCCCTTCTTTACCCTATCAGAAAAGGAAGGGAAGTCATCCATTATCTTATGTATAATATGTAGCCAATTGGTAACTTCACCAGTTTATAATTTCACTAGTGATACTATAAATTACGGTTTATTGAGTAGTAAATAAATCAGTACAAAATTCAGTGACGTAAATTTGATTTGGCACGTCGGTAGAAACAGTGTTTATACCAACATAGCCTATTCCAGGAAGATTCCAAGTCTTCGTATTTTTTGTTCCAGAATGATCTTGAACAAAACAAGATGGAGAAACAAACGATGCATATGCTGTCGGTGCAGGAGCGGGGAGGGGAGACGAGGAAGACCAACCAATACATCGCTGCTGTTGCAGGTAAATAGAAAATTGTTTGAACATTACAAACAACCAGTATACATTGACCTCTCAGAATATTAACCCAAAAGAAATTTGACTTTAGATATCGACTAGTTGTCATTTTTATGATGGTTTTGTCACAAAATACTAGAAGACAAAAGAAGATAGAAAGACCATCGCTTTAATCTTTCTATCTTCTTCTCCCTTATAAAATATTACTAAGTGTGAAAGAGAAAGGCGACATTTCTTTCAAATAAAAGACGAACTTAGGGATAAAATTCCTATACCAGAAAAATTCTTATTTTGTAACTAGCTATCGACCGCGAATCCTTCCGCGCGGAATTAAAAAAAAAATAGTAACACATGTTTTCTTCCAGACTATGTTCCATATGCCAAATTTCATCGAGCTCTGTTTAGCCCTTTTAACAAACATCCATCTAAACATTCGCATTTATATTAGTAAGATGAGTCAGCTTATTATTCGACGTGACTGCGGTTATAAATACCCAAAGTACACACAAGTGAGTCCAAAATCACCTATTACGTGTAAGGAATTCCCTAAAGAATCATTTAACAAAATATAATTCAATGAGGAAACATCGTAAATTTTATTACGAATTGGAATATTTGGAAGTAAATATTTATACAGGTCAATTAAATAAGTGTTTGATAATAAAACAATTTAAGGACAATTTGATACTTTACAATTTATCGTGTAAATATTTGAATATCTGTCTTCCATTGCCGCGCTTCGATGACTCTTACCCTTGGTTTCTGAGACCTAAATATGTATGAAACATATCATCATCCCTGTCATTATCTTTGACAAAAAAGAAATAACATATTTTAAACGGAGATAATGGTCTCAGAATTTTCGCATTTATAAAATTACTACTTGTCCTCTGCAACTCCGTACGCGCCGTATTACAAGAAAACTTAATTAGTAGCCTATGTGTTCTACCAAACTATGCTCTACAACTATGTTAAATTTCATAAAGATCATAAGTCGTTCTGGAGATACCTTCTAACAAACATCCATTTATACATCTAAACGCATTTATAATATTACATACCATTTTCTTCTCTTGTGTTCTGTCCATGGGTGTCGTTGATCACCTCGGTGTTCCCGCCGCTCGTTTGCTCCCTTCTCTTATAAAAAAATCACCAATTCATTCGTGTGTTTGACCTGAACTAAATACGTCATTACGTATATATCAAGAGATATGATAGTTGGCATAGAGTATGTTAATATTTATTTATAAAACATACAATGTACAGGTTTGCATATGTTTATCGGATGCAATAATTCACACATCGAGATTCTAATGAAGAGATAACAGAGATGACGTCATCTTACTAATATAAATGCGAATGTTTAGATGGATGCTAGAAGATATCTCCGGAACGGCTGCATGGATCTCGCTGAAATTTGACATAGATGTAGAACACAGTCTGGAAGAATGCATAAGCTATTTTTTTTAATTCCGCGCAGACGGAGACGCGGGCGATAGCTTGTGATATTATAATATAAATGCGAGTGTTTAGATGGATGTATGGATGTTTGAAGGTATGTCCAGAACGACTGCATGGATCTTGCCCAAATTTTTTATAAATGTAGAACATAACCTGAAAGCACAATTAGGCTACTAATTTCATTTGCGATGCATAGACTGCTCTACTCTACGCACCGGTCTGAACGGACCATTAAAGAAAAGGATAGGATGATGATGGTATTAGGTTCGGTATGCACGGACCGCAGTTTGCAAATATCACTGAAATGGTTACAATTTTAAGCCATTACAAGTACAGTGGTAGTCCAAGTTGTTATAATAGTCCGTGTATAGCTGCCTTTAATAGTAGTCGTACTAGTAAACATGAACGTATCTTATTCATAAATTAAACGATAAATGATCGAACTATTCGAAGCTGAGTTATAATAGATCTTAATTAGATTAACAAGGTTAAGATAATTCATCGCAGAGACGGGATGTTAAGGTGTGTTTACACTCAACGTGGATTTTCGTTGTATAACTCAGTTATTGAAAAGTGAATAAGGAGTTAACTTATTAAAACTACTAGCTGACTGAATTAAAAAAAAAAAACTTAATTAATAGCCTATGCGTTCTTTTAGATTACGTTCTATATCCATGCCAAATTTCATCAAGATCCGTTTAGCCGTTTTGGAGATATCTTAAATAAAACATCCGTCCATATAAACATGCGCATTTATAATATAAGTAAGAAATAATATTAGCACAAGTAGGAATAAAGAAATCTTACTTCTTACTAATATTATAAATGCAATTGTTTGGATATCTGAAGAACGGCTGCATGAATCTCGCTGAAATTTGTCACAGATGTAGAACATAACCTAGAAAAACACATTGGCTTCTAATTGAGGTTTATCCACCACACGGACCAAGTCGCAGGTGACAGCTAGTTGATCTATGGCGGCTTGAGCTTATTGAAATGTTTCTAAGATGTCCTAAAAACTTAAATCGATCAAAAGCATTAATTACTTATTTTTTTCCTCAGCCGCTATTGGAGCTGTGATCGCGGGCACGATCTTAGCATGGACATCACCAGCGTTACCCCAATTGGAGCCACCAAAGAATACCACAGCACTAAATATAACAGCGACCAATATAACGATTGTCAACGGCAGTGATCCAGTGCTGATCAACTCTCTTGGACAGCCAGCTGACTTCTTATTGGACACCAAAGATAGTAAGTATTGTTAGGAAGAAAATACGACATTATGCCTGTGTATCAGCGCAACACTAGCCTTATTAAAACGTCAACGTTTATGTCCCCTCACTAATCATTATGCCACTTGACTTTGTAACGAAAGCCCATTCGCGCCAAATGATTGTAACTAATATTGTTTAAGAGTATTTATGAAAAAGATTATTGCTAAGAAATTTAAAGATAGATAGATAGAGCTTTTGTCAACATATTTAAGTGCTAACAGTGACTTGAACAATCTGTTTCAAAATTGAGTTACAAGATTTCTACCGAACTCACCGTGATTTTCTGAGACCAAAAATCCTATTTAAAAAATATTGTTATCGCTGTTTTGTCATAGATGATGACGATATGTTTTATACAGAGATACGGGTCTAAGAAACCCACAGTCACATATATTTCGTGAAAATTACGTTTGTGTAGTATAAAGATTTTACGTTCGAATCTTAGTCATTTAAAAAAAAATAATAAAAACATTGCAGCACTAAGTATAGCAGTTTTCGTTTTGTGTGTGATCTCATTGTAACCCAGAGTCGAGTCAATCACATGCCAGTGTTATTCAACTGGAGTGACGTGACGCCATCATTCCTGGCTGATATCCAAACGCCTCTACGCATCTCTTGAAGTCTTTCAACAGAGATGCAAGATAATCGTCTCTTTCTTTTCAATAGAGAAACTAAGCACTAGATTACAGCTAACCCATACTTTTAATATAACTTTTAAATTACTTATCTAAAAACCCACACCAAATAACTGGTCTTTGTTTATTCTGATCGTTCATCTTTTCCTTATCTGATTGTGGAACTTATCTTACTTATATTATAAATGCGAATGTTTAGATGGATGGATAGATGTTTGTTTTAAGGTATCTCCAGAACGGCTGAATGGATCTTGCTTAAATTTGAAATAGATGTAGAACATAACTGGAAGAACACATAGGCTAATAACTAAGTTAATTCCGTGTGGCTAGAATTGCGGGCGACAGCTAGTATTATATGTTGTGCTTCATTGGAATACTTGGACCATAGAAATTATTTTAAATGTCTAGTGTCTACAATCTGAACGTACAATTTAAAAGAACTAACATGAAGAATGCTATGTTAAAAACTCTAGACGCTTTGTTGAAACATGAACAAATCAATCGGTCAGAGACGTTATCATTCCTGGCAAGTTCACAACTCACGCGATCTCCGCGAACTATTTCGCTGGTGGGTGTGCCCCTTTATAAATAAACATCCACAAACACATGCAAAATATTTTTGCCAACCTCTATTGGTTACGGTAGGTAATGCGTTGGTGTGTGCTGGTGGAAACATCGCTTAAATATAGATTAACTACTTGAAGATTAAGACAGCGTCATACTTAAAGCGAAACGATTCGTACATATTCAAAATATTGATTTAGCAAAGGTTGTGGCAAAATAAAGAGACCAATTCTTACTAACATTATAAATGCGAATGTTTCGGTTGATGGATATTTGAAGGTTTCTATAGAACGGCTGCATGCAGCATCCATGGATCTCGCTAAACTTTGGCGGAGATGTAGAACATAGTCTGGAAGAACACATAGGCTATTACTTAAGTTTTTTTTAGTTCCGGCGTGGACAGAATCGCGTGCAACAGCTAGTATTATAATAGACTCTTTGAGGCAGTTCCAAACGGTTCACCCAAAAGTATTCGAGTCAATATGTACTACCTAAGAGCATTCGCGACGCATTCACCTCGCTTTAGAAAGACTTTACTTTTATGACATCGTCAGGGGCTCGACTGAGTTCAGTATTTGCCAAATATTCAGCTTCAGTTTTACGTAAGAACTATTTATAGATGCGACGTAAAGTATTTTGTTTCTTAACAAGACGCCGCATTGTTTTTGTGCCAAAACAAAAAAGTAAACACGTGATGAAAGATTGTTGTGTTCCTTGTTTTTTTTTTGGACAGCGAACGAAATGTATATGTCATACCAAAGGGACCTGTGCATTATAAGTAATATAACTGCAATTAATCAAACTTCGATGTAAGTCGGTACCGACTAGTTTAGGGCCTTTTGAAGGCCCTTATTAAGTCGAATAGAAATAGAATTAATTCCTTAGTTTATTATAAAGTTTTACAATCAGATAGTGATTATGGAGTTCTTCAATTTTACCTCGTATTTACATTGCTTTTTGTTGCTTTCCATAATGTTTCATTTCTTGTCCTTCTCTAACAATGTCAACTTTCTTTTCAGGTTCACTAGTATCCTCAATTTTAGCTATAGGGGCTGCATTAAGTGCGTTACCCGCTGGTGTGTTAGTCCAACGTATCGGGAGACGGCCGACCATACTTCTTCTAGCTGTACCCTTCATGATCAACTGGTTGCTGACTATCTTCGCCAACGGAGCTGGTATGCTGATTGCTGCTAGGTTCTTCGCTGGCATTGCCACTGGTAAGTGTCATGTAGACTATTTAAGTCTTTAAAGGAAAAAAATTTCGAAGCTTAATCAAAAATGTGGTTTGTATTCAATTTTTTTTGTAGATTTAAGGATAAATCAACGCTTAGCGACTATGATAATTGTCATTAGACTGAGAATCGGTTTGACTCAGAAAAAAAATTGAATAGTTTAAAGTTAGATTTAAGTTTTATAACTATCTCTGTTTTATTACACAGACCAAGTACTTACATTTCTACGTTTTGTACTTCCTTAAAAGCTTTATTTTTGACCTTTATCCAAAGTGTAAATCAGGCAAATTCAAACTAAATGGCTAAAATTATTATTCCTTTCCATTATTCATCTTTGACCAATATTCCTATGTTTTTTCAGGTGGTATTTGCGTGACCGCACCAATGTACATCGGGGAGATAGCAGAAACGTCAATCCGTGGATCTTTAGGCGCATTCTTCCAGTTGTTCCTCACTGTTGGTATACTGGGAACATTTGTCATCGGAGGTTGGACACATTGGCGTACTCTGTCTATCATATCCGCTGTGCTACCACCACTCTTGGTTGCTGTGTTTTGGTGAGTCTGTAGATTTGAGAAAAATAACGAAATAAACGAAATTTCTTTTAGGAAAGAATTTAGTTTATCAAATATTCCACTGATAGCATCAATGTATATTGGACTTTAGACCTAACTAAATAGAATTTCTTATGCTAGCAAAAAACAAACCACTCTGTGATATTTTGTCCATTAAATTGTGAACCTCCGTCTTCCAGGTGGATGCCAGAAACCCCACAGTACCTGTTAAGTAAGAACAGACGCCGCGATGCCGAGAAGGTACTACGCTGGCTGCGTGGACCTGACGCGGATCTGACAGCCGAGCTTGAGGATATGCAGAAAGATGTAAGTAATACTTAATAAGATATCCTCTATGCAATCGCGTTCCAAGTTGGCCTCCATGAGATCCATAGTAGACGCCCACGATGGTTGGAAATAATGTCAAATTCACAAGTTAAAGTAGAAATGTACTAGAAGACGATCCACCAAATCTTTGATATTAAAATAGAGAATTCTTTGCAGGTTGATGATGCAGCAAGACAACGCGCTGGTATGCTGAGTATGCTGACGAATAAAGCGTCCCGTATGGCATTAGTATGCGGCCTTGGTCTCATGTTCTTCCAGCAATTCAGCGGTATCAACGCTGTTATCTTCTACACCAACAATATCTTCCAATCAGCTGGCTCCAATATACCACCAGCGATTGCCACAATTATAGTCGGTGTTGTCCAAACTATTGCAACTTATATATCTTCTTTATTAGTAGAAAAAGCCGGTAGACGTCTTTTATTGCTACAAAGTTGCATCATCATGGGATTATGTCTTGTCATTCTTGGAACGTATTTCAAACTGCAAGCAAGCGGTGCTAGTGTCGCTTCTTTCGGTTGGCTGCCTTTAGTTTGTTTGGTCTTGTTTATTATTTCATTTTCTTTAGGCTTCGGTCCTATTCCATGGATGATGATGGCTGAACTTTTCTCTGTTGAATTTAGAGGATCCGCATCAGGTATCACTGTTGTAGCTAACTGGTGTTTGGTATTTATAGTTACTCTATGCTTCCCCTTAATGAAAGATGCGATTGGTATTTACAGTTGTTTCTGGTTCTTCGCTGCCTTTATGGTTATCTGTGTGTTCTTCGTTTTCTTTTTAATACCAGAGACAAAGGGTAAGACTGTGTCTCAGATTCAGGCGATTTTAGGCGGGAAGAAAATTTAAAGGTTAGTTTATTGTAAGTTAAATGGAATCGCTCGGGTTTGTATATTTAGTGTATTTATGAGATTTATGTAAGTTTGATTATAAGATGTGGTAAATTAGAGTAGATAAAGTTTATTTTAGTTAGAAACAAAATATTATTTTAATGATCAATGTATTTTGAGTTTATTGTGATTGTCTTTGACGAACAATTTTAAATATAATACTATGAATGAATTGAACGATATATTTGTGAAATATAATAATTATTTGGACAAAATGCATGTCAATTAACTAATAAAAGATATTTTATAAAGTTTGGACAAAGAATAGAAATAAATTAAATATGGTTTAAATTTAAGTGAACGTAATTTTTTTTTTGTTGTTTTTAATGTTGAATATGAACAATATATTCATGTAGGTTATAGTGCTGAACAATATTTTGTAAATTTTAGATAAATAATGAAATAAATTGCCAAATATATAAATAATAAGATATATAATGTAAAATATATAACGATCCTCGAATACAGTTTTTGAAAGAAAACTTTTGTAATTCAAGTAATCGGAAAATATTTTTAGAAATTTTTAAATATGTATACCATGAAATATATATTTTTTTTAGTTATGTTATCATTTACTTTTATATTATTATTTATTATTTATATAAAATTAGACATTTTATGTTAATTGTTGCTAATAAAATGTTGGGATTTAAACAATGATTTTATTTCACTCCCGTCTTACTAATATTATAAATACGTATATTTATATGGAAGTTAGAAGGTATCCTCAGAACGGCTGCATGGATGTCGTTAAAATTTTGCATAGATGTAGACCATAGCCTAAAAAATTAGACTTTATTGTTATACACAAGAAATTCAAAATTCAATGTTGCCTTGGCTCCTTAACTAGAAAGACCTGTACTTAAGGAGCAAAGGACTTCCCATACATATACATAAATTTAATAATTGTTTGTGTAGAAAAACAACTAATTTAGACTACTAAATAAGTTTATTTTTAATTCCGCACGTAAGAGACCGCTGGCGACTGCTTGTAAAAACAAAGTGATTCTATAAGGGTTCCGTTTATTTCCTATGGAGTACGGAACCGTAAAAACTTTTCGCCTTTGTCGAATGATCTGTTTTATCATTATTAAATAGAATTATCTAATACGTGGAAGGGAAAGGGATGTACAGGGAAGGGATTAAAAACAACATGATACAATTTAACACAAAACTTTATAAAACTCTCAAAGTAATAACGATCCTGAACAATCTCTTGATATCACGACTTTCTCTATACCATCTATTCTATTTGTT